CCCCCCCCCCCCCACCTCGGAATATGTCGAACGATGAAAGTCACAAACCAAAGTCATCGGTCGAGCATCAGACTCTCTGTACCAGACAGCACTAATGACGGCTGGTCCCGCCTTGTTTCTTTTTCTGTTCATCGCTTAACCCTCTTCATGCGCGATACTGCATGGACACCGCACCCTTCTCTCTCTCTATCTCGGTCGGTCGATCGGTCGAGCAGTTCAACAGCTTTGAGCAGCTGTGCATCAACTTCACCAACGAGAAGTTGCAGCAGTTCTTCAACCACCACATGTTCATCCTCGAGCAGGAGGAATACAAGCGCGAGGGCATTGAGTGGACGTTCATTGACTTCGGCATGGATCTCCAGCAGACTATTGATCTGATCGAGAAGGTACCACCTGGCCGACCGCCGGCTGGCAGGTCGAGCGCGATCGTGAGATCGCGAGGACGCCCGAGGACGAGATTCCTCGCGCGAATTATATAGATCTGCTAGAGAACGCCGCTGAATGTGTTCCTGTCTTGTCTGTCTGCTCGATCGATACTAACTCTACTTCCTTCGTCATCGTTTTTTTATTCTCCGCCTCTCGCCGCGTCAGTTGAACAGTGGCAGGATCTTGTAGTGTAAGAAAACACTTGAATTGGAAATAATTGTCGATTTTGTCAAAGATCAACATCAAAGCGATACTGGCTATCGACGTAACGCAGTGTCGTAGTTTTCTCTTTCCTTCGAATTGGATGCACCAAATTGAAAATGCTTCTATAGAGTGAAAGTACAAATATTAATAAATATGTAACTGAATTTTATTTGAGAATCAGATGAAAAACTCGGAACAGAAAGATTTCTGTAAGAGATTCTACTTAATCAATTATCTCAACCGAGCTTTGATGCAGCTGAATGTTCAGACAAATATTTTGAGTCACAGTAAAAAAAAAACATTTCAACGAATTTTCTGTCTGGTCCCCGTTCAGTTATCTGAACTGGAATTTTTTTCTGTCTACCTTACACAGTTGAATTAATTGTTAGAGTTAGAGTCATAACACAACATTTCCCTTGTGCCACTGTCGACTGCGCCGCGAAAGGTTCCAGGATTAGCGGAAGAACTACCCGGCTGGACACGGACGGTGTTCTCCGCGCGCATCTCTAATCCTTGTTTCTTTTCTCTCTTTATCTCTCTTTCTCTCTCTCTTTCTCTCCTTCTCTATTCGCTGTGTGCCTGTGTTGCGTGTTGCATCGACCGCATCGCCGTGGTGCATGCAGTACAACAGCTTCGAGCAGCTCTGCATCAACTTCACCAACGAGAAGCTGCAACAATACTTCAACCACTTCATGTTCGTGCTTGAGCAAGAAGAGTACGAGCGCGAGGGTATCGCGTGGACCTTCATCGATTTTGGTTTGGATTTGCAGCCGACGATCAATCTGATCGAGAAGGTAAAGCGTCGGTCCGTCCAGGACTCGGGCTCGAGCTGGATCCAGCTGGATCCGTCGTAACCAGGCTCTCGCTTGACCTAGTAGCTTGCGAGATTATTGTTTAAGCTATTACGTTGTTTGCCTCTGTGTATATATATATATATATGTGTGTGTGTGTGTGTGTGTGTGTGTGTGTGTACTTAATTATATATGCACTTGATTTCACGAATGTGTTGCGAGTCTAACGCGCAATATTTCATAATAATTTTTACTCACGCGAAAACCCTTTATAGTATAGGTACAAAGGGATACACGCAAATAAAATCAGATTGATTCGACAAAAACTTCCACAAAAGAGACCGCCAGAAATTTCACCCGTGTGGAATGTTTCCTTCCGGTTTGTACTTGTGACTGAAAAATCACGCGTTAGACTCAGAACATCGTGCACACGCTGTAACGTGTACTGAATGAAAGGACCGATGCGTTGGAGGAGGCGATCGCGTTCTCATAGCAATGAAATATCAGTGAGAACGTCAGCAAAGGTCCAAGTTCGCCAAAATCGCGACGAACTTCACCGACGCATCGCTCTAAGGAATCTAAAGAAGTAGAATTACGATAACGCAATACTAAGAGTAGCGTTGGGCCTTCCCTGTACGTGTCCCGTAGTCTGTGCAAGATTAATTATTAATCGGCAATTAATTTGTACGAATCTTGGCTCACACGAGCGACTTATTCGCCAATTTAACTTAACCGTCAAAGAGAACTTAATTTGTACATTAATTAGTCGATTTAACGAAGTTGGCGATAGCAAGTAGATAACAAGAGAGCCTGTCGGCCAAGTAGAGCCAAGTATTTAGTCTGTTTTTAGTAAAAAGTTGGGACACTAATAATAACGAGAGTTCCGCGGTTCCGAAGGTTGCCTTCGTCGTCGCAACTTCATCGAAGACGAGTTTGTCGAGCAATGTAACGAAGTGACATTCGCGTAATTACTTCGAGATTCCGTAGAAAGGGTTAATCTTGGTCAATGTACAAAATCAGCATTACTTTCGCGTAAACGCTACTCTTGGCAAATGCGAAGTCCACGAGTCGTCGCGGAGACTGACGCGCAACTTTTCTTTATCTGTTTCCTCGCAATCGCAGCCCATGGGTATCCTCTCCATCCTTGAAGAAGAGTCTATGTTCCCGAAAGCCACCGACAAGACCTTTGAGGAGAAGCTGAACAACAACCATCTCGGCAAGAGTCCCAACTACTTGAAGCCGAAGCCGCCTAAACCGGGCCAACAGGCGGCTCACTTCGCCATCGGTCATTATGCCGGCAACGTACGTTTGCTCGACTACTTGAGATATTTAAGAAAGCGCGCAAGAGATTTTCAGACACGCGAGATTCTCGGAAGCAGTACTGAAAGACACCGCTCGCATCTCAGGTACCATACAACATCACCGGCTGGCTGGAGAAGAACAAGGACCCGCTGAACGACACGGTGGTCGATCAGTTCAAGAAATCTACAAACAAACTGCTGGTGGAGATCTTCGCCGATCATCCCGGTCAGTCTGGTGATGCCACTGCCGGCGGCGGCGGCAAGGGCGGACGTGGTAAGAAGGGCGGTGGTTTCTCCACGGTGTCGTCATCCTACAAGGAGCAGTTGAACAATTTGATGACCACTCTGAGAGCCACTCAGCCTCACTTCGTCCGTTGCATCATCCCCAACGAGTTGAAGCAGCCGGGCGTGATTGACTCCCACTTGGTGATGCATCAGCTCACCTGTAACGGTGTACTTGAAGGCATCCGTATCTGTCGTAAAGGATTCCCCAACAGGATGGTCTATCCTGACTTCAAGCTACGGTAAGAATCGTCCTTTTAATGATCAGCTAGCTCGACAATCGATGTCCGAAAGGTCTCGAGAAATCGAATTAGGAGTTTTGCGCGATCTTTTGCAAATAGTTCTGTTGGGATTCGTCCTCTATACAGTAATATTTTAGTATTTCAGGATTCTTTATTTTGTTTCTTTTTTTCTGAGAAAAAGAATGCGGCCAAGTTTAATTCTGTTTTGCAGTATATTTGAAATCTTAAATAATTTTTTTATAAAATCGCATCTGTTAATTTTAACTAATGCGAATTAGTCAATAATAAGTACGATTGGTCAATTCCGTTGGAATAGCTGGTTAAGTTAACCAAAGTTCGTAGAAATGGGCATTAGTGCGTCTGCAGCCGACTTATTACCAACATTATGAATATCAACAATGGTCAGAGACACTTTTGATACTTATACACCACTTGGTCACATCACTTTTGATACTTATACACCTTTAACCTACTCATTAATAGCTACAATTTGTTAAAAAATAATTTAAAATTTTAAGTGTCACAAAATGGACCTAAAAGCTCATGAGAGTTTGGCCGCTCTCTTTAGAAGAAAAATTCAGAATTTTATTCTAGGACTCAAATAGCATAAGTTATTCTCGATCCTTGAGAGTTCTAACGGTGATTCATGAAAATCTGTTATCATCCATCAATTCCTATCGAGTCGAGATTATTATTTTGATTTCTTTTCCGTTAGTACATTGGCAGATTTCTGTGGACACTTTAAGAGAGAATCTCCCCACTTTTCGCGCGAACGAGTTTTAGCGAGAAAGCATCGGAAGGTGTTACACATTCGTATGGCATCGATTCACAATATAACGTGACTTTTATGTTGTGACCGTATAGTTACATGATCCTAGCGCCGGCCACGATGGCGCGCGAGAAAGAATCGAAGGTCGGCGCGGCTAAATGTTTCGAGGAGATCGGTCTCGATCCGGACAGCTACAGGATCGGTCACACCAAGGCTAGTTAACGCATCCCCGATAGAAACTGATTTGACGATTTCGCCCCGTTGTCTCTAGATTAGTAAAGCCACCGTTCGCTCTCCATTATCGGAATTAGAGATAAATTTTCCCGTGTGGATCGTCCTCGACCTGAAAGTCGCTATATAGAAATACATTTTACAATAGACCTTGCACGGGAGAAAACTGCTGTGGTTGCTACATCCACGTACATAATCTACAGTTAGAGAGAAAATTTATGCGACTTCAAGTTAAATAGATCTGGCATTGAATGTTATTATATGCCTACCTATACAGTTCTCACAGCCACACTTCAGAATACTATAGTTACTACACCATCTTGTACGTATGGGCGAAAAATAACATGAATATTTTGTTATGGCAACCACTTAGGCAAGTGATATCCTTAGGGCCGGTTTTTCAATAATAGTTTAAACTTAGATTTCAACTTAAACTCTGTTTAAACAAAACGCATTGTTAGAATAGAGTTTAAACTTGAATCCAAGTTTAAACTGTTATTGAAACACCGGCCCTTAAGGTTTTCTCCATACATAGATAAACAAAAGAAAATACAGAAAGGGCTTTATACCAGAAAGCTTTGGCGACTTTCGATCGATTCGAAGTTCAAGTCGATTTTAAATCGACGCAGTCGACTTCGAGGACGATCCATGCCCCCTGCACTGTCGCCCCGTGAATTCAGCACGTTGTGCTCCCCTCTTTACCGAATGCGATATCAACCGTATTGAACGAATGCCACAAGATTGATCGTTTTTACCCGTCCCGGCTCGAGAAGAATTGAATTAGAGAAGTAAAATGAGAGAGAACCGATCCCGTGCGTTTGGTACCCGATTAGATTAGCGTCACGCATCAAATTAGAGTAGTGTAGACCCTGTGCACACTACCCCCCCCCCCC